AAGGTGGAGGGAGAGAGGTCTTTAATGGAGGAGAACATTTGGGCATTTTTATAAGGATATTTTAGTCAAGAAAATTTTAATCTCAAGAGAAATTTTGCAACATGAGGGGGTGGTGGGTTTGGATATTCTTACCTAAGTAACATTGAGTAATTCTAAGAATTATTGAATGTCCAAATATGTCAAAAGTGATATCATCCAAACCCCAATCCAATTCATGCTCCCAATGCCATGTACCAAACAGGGCTTTAAGATCTTGGCTTCCCTCCACCAAAAGAAGCCTTCTATGCATTTGAACTATTTAAATTAAATTTAAACAATTTAAATTTAATATTTTTATTTTTTACTTTATATTTATTGCAACAGAAAAATATATATAATTTAAAAAAAATTAATAAATATGTTCATTAGTTTGAATAGTCCAAATTTAACATAAATTTGTTCAAAAATGTAAGGCATTTTTAACCAAATCTCACCCCCAATAAAGTAATTACCTACTTTTAACTAAGCCTATTTTTTATACTTACCTCTATTAAACACTCTATAATAAATATAAAGTTATTATCAATAGCGGTATTTTTTTTAAAAAGGCAATGATTACACCTCAAAAGACAAAAAATACCATATATTTTTGAACATTTAACTCATCAAAAAATGTCATTTTTGAATGGAGGGAGTATTAAAAATTTTATAATTTCCATAAATGAGCTATTTAAATATACTTTGGGCAGTAAATATTTAATATTAATTTTGTTATAATTTTTTATATTAAATTTGAATCATTTATATTAAATCTAAAATATTCAAATTAATGAATAAATTTAATATAACTTTTTACTTTAATAGATATAAAATAAAAAAAGTTAAAGAGTCTCTCACAGGATGCGTGGAGGCTCAGTGCTGAATCCCCCATTTATTTAATACTAGGATTTAGTTTCTTTTTAATTTTGCCTAATCTTTAGGATTTATTCCACATGTATGTGTATATGCAACATGCATGTATCCTTAAAAATACATAGTATAGCATTTTTTTTTACTTTTTCGCCCTCACAATATACATGTAGGATCTAGATGAGTGAATGTTCCAAATCTTTTTACAAAAACTATCATTTAACTCACCATTTCATTTATTTCTGACGATGCATGAATTTTTTTCAAGCGTACGTTGATAATTCAATGACTGTAGTTGGGATACTAATTGAATGAAATTAAGAATTTGGAACTCTAATAGGGATTTAAATCCATGCATGTGTGCATGTTCGCTCTCATAATACCCATACATTTTTAAGAAAAAATATTTACTATAAATGTTCCTTCTCATTGGAAAATTATGGATTCGATATCTTTCTTTCACTTGCCTCTTGATTGTCTTTTCCGTACTTTAAATTCCTCAACGCGATCAAGTACAAGTGGACACGTGGTTTGTTGTTTTTTCGTTTTTGGATACATCATACACCCCATATGGGACTTAGTCATCTGAAATCATTCCTAATCTGGTAACGATAAACTGAAGGAAGATTATTAAAGAAGAAAAAGAAATAAATAAATAAGGGACGATAAAAATGAATACAAAAATTATGTTTATAAACTTGAAGGATAATTTTATTTCAGAAAAACATCATAAAGAAAAAAAATATCATTACTGCGCATTCTATCCAATAACTAGGAAAATTTGGTGTATAAAAAAACTTGTCATTTGCAAAGTATACTATCACCCAGATTTAAAACTATTTTTATTTTTTTATCTTTCTTTCATATTTATCAAAATAAAAATTTATAAAAAATATAATTTTTTATTAAACATATTAACCAACAATTTAGATAGTACAATTTAACTTAGATGATTCAATTTAATATTAATTTTTTAATTTTTTATAAATTAACTATCCATATATATTTTGAACAGCCTAGTTTTAAAATTAACTTTTTTTTATAGAATATTAAAATAAAGATAATATTCAGGCACCTTTCAAGAGATGTGTTTTTTTTTTAATTACAAGTTAACAATTTTGAATCCAAACCATTCAAAATAAATATGGGTAGATAAATTATAAAAAATTTTAATATCAAATTTGAACTTTTCGAGAGAGGATGGAGGTGGCAGGAAAAATAAGTTTCAAAGAGTATATAGAAATGTTTGGAAGCTTTGCAGATGATAATTTTGTTTTTTATTCACCCCTGTTTTTTCCGGCCATTGGATAGAATGCACGACAATGATATTCCCACTTCTCAGCCGTTGCTTTGAATCTACCATATGGGATCTATTCTGAGAATATTCCCCGTAACACTTATTTATTTATTTGTCATTAGTTGAAGTCGAAACACAAATTAACAATGCATCAATATTAAAAAATTAATATCAACATTATATTAATATTAGTAGTATTAATTAGTAATATAAAACTTAAAATCTGTAAAAAAAATGCAATATTCATTGTTTGGAAACTTGGACTGACTTGGCCAAGTTGACCTGTAAACCAGTGAATTAATCATCTAGCCAGTTCAGTTGATTAAGGAAATTGATCACTTATGACTCATCTTTAATATGGTCAAACTTAGCCAACTCAATAGGTTAATGTGTTGACTCGGGTCATATTTTATTATTTTATTTTCTTTATTTTTTCTTTTCTTCTTCCGAATATTAAACAGCTTGAATAAAATATAAATTTCTTAATATTAATTTAAATGCTATTATGTTTTGTTATTGTTAGAAACTTATAATTATTATTTCTATAAGACATGTGTAAGATTTTATGAATAAATTTTTTTATTTACTCAAAAATTAATGAATTTTATTTAACTATTACAGTCTTTTATATGAATTTTTTATATATTAAATCAAATTATATTATTTTAATTGAAACTTGTTTGCTTTGAGTCGGCTTATAATTGAACCATTAATTTTTAAATTATTATCTCGATTGATTTAATAATCAATCCAATTTTTAATATCTTAATATTTATTATACAATGAGCTGCCAAATTGTAATTTACTTTTTTTGGGATCATTTTGGCGTTTCCTTAAATTTAATCTAGACAAAAATTATTAATATGTAATATCTTGATGTCATCTTTTCAAAAAGAAGCATCCGAGGGACAAGTCCGTTCCAATATTTCCTCGATTTGTTCGATAGAAAACATAATAGCCAGATTCGTTCCCACAATGAGCCGTGCGAAGATTTTATTTTATATTGTCATAATTTTAAAGAATCCTAATACAAATCATCATTTGGATTTGATGTCAAATTATTGAATTATTATTTATTCCACTTACCCGCTCCAAAGAGTAATTAAGAAATGATTTTTGAGTTGGCAGAAAAAGAAAAAGAAATGATATTTGAAATGACCATCCAACATCAAAGAACAGGACGACAACAACCCAAAAACGATAAAAAAAATGGATTAAATAAAAATATCTAAACGGGAATCAAAATCCAATCAGTTGGTGGAGAGGTGGGACGACGACAATTGATTGTCCGAAAGTACGAATTTACCCCTCCTAGACTCGTCACGCAATCCGGTCAAAAAAAAAAAAAAAGATTCGTCACACAAAAATAATTGTCTCGTTCTTCTTCTCTACCAGTAAAGAAATGATTACATCAGCGTGAATTTTATATTTTTCTATTTTATTGCAAAACCCAGGGTGCTCCGGCCACTCGCTGAGGCAAATATAAACCCTTAGAAAAAAATATTCTTATTAAATTTTATAATAAATTGATTCAATTTTTTTTGACCAAAAATTTGTGAATGGCCTTAGTTCATTAACTCAATACGTGTCTTATGTAAATATGATAACAATAATATGATTTAATCAAATGATTATTGAATATTTTGTTGTATAATACTTAAAAAATATTAAATCTCAAGATTTTAGAGGAGATAAAAAGTATTCTAATCGTGAATTGAATGTTGTTAGAAAAATATTTTTTAATAATTTTTAAACATTGATAAAATGTTAATAGTTTTGTTTAAAATATTTTTTGAGTGAATGGATTTTTTTTTGATAAAATTGAGTGAATAAATTTAAATCACTTACCAAATCTAAATCTCTTCACGAAAACACCTTTGATTGAATTTTATATGTTTATCTATATCTCATCTTACTTTTTTGTTTAAATACTTATAGCTGACTTTTTATTTTAGGTAATCTTATTTGAAATAAAATTAAATGATAAATATAAACATATTTCCTAGTAAGGATTTAAACTTAATTGTTGATTCACTGCACAAATTACCAATTAGCCCCTTTAATTAGACCTAATATTTGTTGTTTACCTTGTCCCTATTTTTATACTTTCTCTCTAATATCTTAAATTTTTATCCAACTTAATTTCGTCGACAACTTAACAACCCTCTAAGCATGATACCAAGAATCTAATTTTACTTTCATTATAAGACGAATTGTCTTAAGATAATAACTTATAAATAATAAAGGATACATATACTTTTAAATCAAAATAAATCACATACACACACATGTAAATATATTTGGCCAAAAAATATATATATGTAAATATATAAATTATAATTAAAAATTATATATCTTTATTATTTAAAATAAAAATGAAAAGAAAAATGTTCTCCAGCAGACATGCTATGAGCAATTATCTGGAGTTGAAATTTCATCATGATATCATTTTACTTTAAATGGCAGTTTTTATTAAGTTGGATTATATTTTAATTCTTTTTTTGTAAATGTCAAAATAGTACAAATTGAACGAGTTAAGTTTTATTTCTACAAATAAAAAAATGCCTTCTGGTAAAGAAACTAAAAAATAAAAAAGATGCGTTGCCAAGAAAAAATGTGTTGTTTTTAAGGCTATTGAGGATTCACGTATAGCTACGTTGACTTTTTGGTAAATAAGAAGCTGATTTAAAAAATGTCTTATATATATTTATATATTTGTAAGTTTCGTGGTAGCATAGAAGAAAAGGATGGGCAATTCCGTCCAATGAAGATCTTTAGGAGTCCCCCTCAATTCATGAATTTAGAAAGAGAGGCAATAGCGTGAATGCCAAGTCGGAAAGGTGAACAGAGAACGCTTTCTCCTCTATCTCTCTCGAGAGCACACGACACAGCACGGTTCTCTCTCTCTCTCTCTCTCTCTCTCTCAGGTTATTCTCTTCGCTGTCTCCAAGGAATTCCCTTCCTCGTCCATCTTTTTGACAACATTCTTCTTCAAATTTTCGTTAGCTCGATGAGCTGGTGAAGTGAGTTAATAGTGGTGCGGGCGTTTGTCTTCTGAATCTTTTTGTCCTTTTGGGGCTTTGATTTTTCTCTGTTCGCAATTGGTTCTCCAAAATGCTGGTTCGGAGGAGAATGATGAGTTGGAGGAGGGTAGCCAAGTCTCTGCAAGTCTTTGCAGCTCATGGTTTACTCTTCTCCTTCACGCTGCTGCTCGTTCTCAAGCTTGACCGTGTCGTTCATTACTCATGGTGGTGAGTTTTTGTTTTTGCTTTCCTGCTTTGTGCTGTCTCTTTCAATTTCTGTTTGTTTGCCTGGAAATTGTGGTGAAAAGCATTGAAAAAGAATTCAATTGATATATAATTTGCTGGTGGTGTTAGAAGGATCCTTTTTGTTAAATTTTTCCCAGTCCCAGCATTGGGATTACTTTCTTGTGGATGCAGTGGCTTCTGGTTGTGCTGGTTCTTCTCCTTTTTTTGAGGCTCAATGCTAGCAAGGAGGACGTTTATGTGTTTTCGTCCCCTAGAAACTCATCAATTGAGAATAATACAGTTATATTTTCTTGAAAAATGTAGTTTTCTCCATTGGCATGCCCTGTAATTTGTGGTATATTTGGATTGATTGAAATTTTATGATTTTCTTTCTATAGTTCATGGTGGTTTCTTTCTGTCTGAGCATTCAATGGATTAACAAATTGTCTTTTGTTTTAAATTATTCGTGATTCCAAATTCCAATGTTTAAATTGGCAATTTCAAGGTAAGTGAAAACAGAATATAGCTATTCAGGAATTAGATCTAATTTATATTGATATTATTAAGCTTAATAAATGATAGAGCACAATGGCGTCTTGCAATCCATGTAGCCGACCCCACCTAATGGGATAAAGGCTTGTTGTTGTTGTTGTTATATTGATATTATTGTTGGTTGGTATTGATTGATTGATTTTATTTCAGCTTATTTACTGTTAACTGTCTGTTGAATGAGACCATCGGATTTTTTTTTTTTTATTTCTTTAGTGCAAATTGCAGAATTCTGTGTAATGCCTCATTGTCTTGCACAAATTCACCTCGCCACGTGTTTCGCTTCTACAAAAGATTTTAACTTCGAGGACCAGAAAGCACTAAGTGATTTTGTTAGCTTCTTTTAAGGGTTTGTTCATGCGATTCAAAGATAGTGGGGTGGAGTGGACTGGAGTGTTTATTAATGGAAAGAACAGGACAAAGTATAGTGGGAAGAGGAATTGTTCCCGTTCAATTGATTGAAAGTTTAATGGAAAAGAGATGTTAACCTATTCTCCACTGCTTCAAAATTACTATATTATTAAAGGGGCTAGGTGGGTTTGAGGTCTAAGTTTTCAGTGTTACCTCATAGAAGAAAGGTAAGTGAAGAATATTTGGATGACAAAAGGGTAAAAGAGCAATTGAAAAGATAAAAGGAAGACAACCACCCCAAACTCCCAATTTGGTTGAGGGGTTGAGAAATTGCCAAACTGGGGTGTGGGGTGGTGGGCAGAGGGAATTTGAGAAGTCATCCCAATCCGTTCCACTTCATTGCTCTTAAAAATCCTGAAAATGATTTGAGTTTGTCCCTACTTCACTCCAACCCATCACCTTGCAATCCTTTTTCCCAAACAAACCCCAAGGTTTCTGGTTGGCACTTTTCTTTATAAAATTATAGACAAGTCATGAGCAAGTTTATATGATTGATTATTTTTGAATATGAAATGACTGGTCTTGTTAATGATGTTGAGCTCATGATCGTGTGCATTCCATTTGATTCAAAGGTTCACTTATAGCAAAATGGATGATTGCTTGGTTGCTTTTTGTTTTTTCATTACTGGTCTTCCAGATGAGCAGTGGCACCATATCATATAATCATATAAACAAAAAGTATACTCAAGTTAGTATTCTAAACTATGTATACCTTGTTATATGTACCATGCATTTATGTGTTTAAATTAACCGGTGAAGTTGATTCGAAGCAGTTCTGTCCAAGTGAGGTCCATTTTCTGATTTCGTCTTGAAATATTATTGAGAGGTGGCCTCGATTAAATGATGCCATAACCCTTCCATTTGTAGTTATGTTTTGCTTTTTGTTTCCATTGCCAGGACCATATTTTCACCTCTATGGCTTTTTCATTCTGTTGTAGCACGGGGAAGGTTTTCCTTGCCTGCTCCTTCAATGCCTCATGATCGCCATGTAAGAATTTTTGCAAGATAATATCCTTATAAATTTTGAGAGAATTGGGAAGTTTTTTGATAGGTACTTGTTGCTGAGGAACAAATTTTGTGTATTGGCAGTGGGCTCCATGTCATGCCATCATGGCAACACCCTTTCTTGTTGCTTTTGAGCTGCTTCTTTGTATACATCTTGAGATCAGTCATGGTATGCGAATTTTCTTGTTTCATAACTGTCAGTCATGGTATTGAGCCGTCTATTCTTGACATCAAGATAAACTGTGGATTTCTTGTAAGAGTTTGTTGATTTTTTGGATGCCGTGATTTGAATTATTATGCATTTCAATGATGCAGTGGTAAATTTAAAGATTGTCTTCTTACCCCTATTGGCTTTTGAAGTGGCAATTTTGATTGATAACATCAGGTAATTATCTAATTCCATCATTCCATTAATGTATGTATTGTTAGAATCTTGCACTCTCAGATTATGGTAAGCTTGCATATATCATTTGACCAATTTATTGCCTTCCTTGTGTAATGGTTGTGGGGACTGCTATGAAAGAGCTGGCTAGAAAATCGTGACAGTCATTCAGTTTTATCAGATGATTTGTAGAAGTAACTCACCAATTTGGTATCTGCTTTTCAGCACATCATTTGATTGTTGAGAAGTGTAAAGTTATTAATAAATGAAATGAGGTTCTGTCCAATGGTAATTTGTTATTGTTAAAAGTTACCATGATAGCCATCATGCTGGATTTTTGTTCCTGCTTTAGTGATAATATATGTCTAAGCTGTTAGGCAGGCTTGAATATCTCACAAGACCTGTGAGTTATTTCACTTATTTTATGAGATTCAACTGAAATTAATCTTGCTATATTTGATCCCTTGATTCTGTACCTTGGTTAAAGTCATTTACTGTCCTTTATTTACCTGTTTCTCGAAATTCTAGTGACTGGCTTATGGTCAAGGTTTCTATTTATTCCCTCTGCATGCGTTACTCTGAAGTAATAAGAAGAAAAACAACTTTGTGCCCTTTTTCTTAATGGTGTCAATTCCTACAAGGCTTGAATGACCAAATGCATTAGTTGATGGCATGAAAAAACTGTACTTTAGTGGTAACATGAGAACCAAACTCTAAGACTCACAGCAAAGTAACGCAAGGAAGGTCAATAGGTGCAAAAAACAATGGAGACTTTGTAGCAAGGGGAATGAAGAAAAAGATAAAGAACTAAAATTATAAAGTCCATTGACTTAGAAGATTTGCAATTTTAGCTCATAGCTGCTATCAACTTGAAGAAGGGTGTTGAAATTAGATTCTAATTTTCTTTTTTACTTGAAATTCAATTATGATAATTTATTTTGTGGAATTTGGGAGGAAAATATTTTTCATTCATTTCAATACTCAGATACATGCTAAATATGTATACAATAGGGAGAATAATTACTAATAAAGCCCAATAATTACTAATAAAGGCTATATGTTGAGAGACCATATGATATTTATAATAAATATTAAATATTTCCACACTCCTCCTCAAGTTAGATCATAGATGCTAATTATGTCCTCATACAATTCTCAAATGTAGGTCCAAATAACCCTTTAGTGAAAACATTAGCTGCTTGCAGCTTTGTAGGGAAGTATGTTAAACATAGAGTTCCTTCTTCCACTTTTTCTCTGATGAAGTGTTGGTCTATCACAACATGTTTAGATCTTTCATGTTGTACTGGATTTAAGGCCATGCTTGTGGCAGCCTTGTTATAATAGTAAAGTTTCAATGTTGAGCTTGCTCCAACCTGTATTTCGTTTAAAACTCATTTCAGCCACAATACCTCTCTTATTCCTTGAGCGGAAGCTCTCAATTCAGATTTAGCAATGCTTTTTAAAGCAACTCTTTGCGTCTAGCTTCTCCATGTAACTAAATTTTCCCACACAAATGAACAATAGCCGGGTTTTGACCTTTGATCTTTTTAGGTTCCACCACAACTTGCATCGGTGCAAACTTCCATGGGTCTTTTTTTTTTTTGGGTAAGTAAACTTCTATGAATCATTGCTCATGTTTTCTGAAGAACAGACCTCTACCAGAAGTACTTATTAGATATCGCAAGATCCTGTAGATTGCCTCCATACGACTCTACATTGGGCAACTCATACATTGATAGTGGATGCTATATCTGGCCTCATATGAGAAAGATATATTAGTTTTCCAATAAGTTTTTGATATATCTCTTTGTTAGCTGCTTTTTCCTTTTCTTCAGCTTCCTCCTCCTCCTCTTCCTCATTTTTCTTAAGCTTCTTCTTTGGTTTTAACTGGTTTGCAACCCAACATACCCATCTCTTTCAGGAGATCAAGTATATATATTTCTTTAAAAACATAAATTCTTTGGAGGTTATTGAGTGAGATTTTTTAATTAACAATATTTACAATGGCACCATATAATATATGTAGCTGACCCCACCTAGTGGGATAAGGTTTGTTGTTGTATAAATTCCTTTTCTTGACCTGGCAACTTTAACAACAACAATAGGTGGGGTTGGCTATATGGATTACATGACGCTATCATTAACCAAGCTTTTAGGAATATTGTTAATATTAATGAAGAGGTTTTGTTCAACAACTACTACAAGTGTTTTCTTTGGTCTTCCTCTACTCCTCTTGGTAGGGCTCAAGATTTTTCATTTCACTCTCTTTACTAGGACCTCCCACAACTTTCTCTATACATGTCCAAACCATCTCAATTGATTTTTTATCATTTTTCTCTCAATAGATGCCACACTCACTTTTTTTTATATATGCTCATTTCAGATTTTATTTTTTCGTTTATGCCTTCATATTTATCTTAACATTCTCATCAATGCTGCTTCAACTTTATGTTCTTGCTATTCCTTTAGAGCCTAACGTTCGCTTCCGTATGACATAGCTAATCTTATAGCAATTCAACAAAACATCCCTTTAAATTTAGCTTCCCGAGATCTTTGACTTCAAATTCCTTGCCAAGAGTAGCCTTCACTCTCTCTATTTCTTCAAGGTGATCTCTAGTGAATATTATATCATTGACATAGACAATAAGAATGCATTTCTTGCTTCCCTTGACTTTGACAAACATTGTATGATCCGATAGGGCTTGCTTGCCTTTGGACTTTAGCACTCTGGAGAACTTATTTAACCAAGCTTTTGGTGATTGTTTCAAGCCATGTATAGACTCTTTTAGTTCACATTTTCTATGACTTTATCAAACTTGGGAGGTAGAATCATATAGATTTATTCCTTCAACTTTCCATTTAGAAATGCATTTTTGATATCAAGTTGGTGAAGAGGCTACTCAAGATTAGCTGCGACAAACAACAAGACTCTGATAGTGTTTAAGTTTGCCATCAAAGCAAATATTTTTTCGTAGTCCAGACCATACATTTAGGTAAACCCTTGTGCAACCAAGTGTGCTTTCAACTTGTCAAGAGTTCCATCAGCTTTGTATTTTAGGGTGAACACCCACTTACAATTCACTGTTTCTTTTCCTTTGGGTAGCTGAACAAGTTTCCACATCCTATTCTTTTTTAAGGCCCTCAATTCTTCCATGACAACACTCTTCCATTTAGGGATGTTTAAAGCTTCTTGTATAGTCTTAGGCACCTTCAACTTATCAAGATTAATAATAAAAGCCTAGTATTGAGGAGAAAGTGCTTTGTGTGAAAGAAACCTCTCTATTGGATGGAAAGTATACGAGTGAGGTTGCTTCCTTAAAGCAATAGGAAGATCAAGATTAGTAGATGCACTTACTTGTTTTGTACTATCTATCTTTGGAGTTTCAGGAGTTGCCCCAAATTCTAAGTCTCTTTGAATTTCTGCTCTAGGAGCTACCTTTGTTTCAACGCTCTTGATGCTTATAGTACAAGTTGCTCATTATCTTTAGGTTTTTTCTTTTTTTTTGAATGTAAACAAGTAATTCTTCCTTTTGTGATCTTTTTGCATCCCCTCTTGTTTGCCTGTGTTCATCAGTTAGTGGTAGTAGTAATGGCTCAGTTGGTGTAATCCATGGCTCATGAAACACCTGTTCTCTGTTAGGTTTTTGTTCCTAAGTTTGAGATTCACTTATGCTTTCCCCCTGAATTGAAGTATTGGGATAGAATAAAGTATCTTCATGAAAGATGACATCACGGTTGACAAATTTGTGTTTAGAAAGAGGGTCAAAGCATCTGTATTCTTTCTGAGCAATATAATAGCCTAGATATATGCATTTGATTGCTTGAAGTTTAAGTTTATTGCTTTGGTGGTTATGGACAAAGGCTGTGCAACCAAACACCTAAAGCGGAATATTGGTTTCAATACATGATGTGGAAAAAAACACTTTGCAATTTCTGGAGAGGGGTTTCAAAGGATATGATTAGACTGGGCATAAGGTTGGTTAGGCAGGTTGCAGTCAAAATAGCATCGCCCCAATAAAACTTGAGCACGTTGCAATTAAACATGATTGCTCTAGCAACATTAAGTATATGCCGATTTTTTCTTTCTGTAACCCTATTTTGTTAAGGTGTATGAGCACATGAATTGGTATAGACAATACCATGCATTTGGAAGAAGGCATTTAAAGATTGGTTAAAGTACTCAATCCCATTATTAGTGCATAAGACTTGGATGGTGGTATTGAATTGGGTTTTGATATGGTTAAGAAATTCATGAATGTTGATGCAATCTCAGACTTGTTTTTTAAAAGAGAAACCCTATAAACACGAGTATGGCGATTAATGAAGTAAATAAACCATGTTGTTTTAGTATAATTAGGAGTATGAGATGGTCCTCATAAATCACTATAAATGGTTGTGAACAGTTTGGTAGGTGAGTATTTGGCTTTAAGAAGGGAAGTTTTGTGGTGTTTAGCAAGTTCACACACTTCACAGTGAAGTTCATTAACATTCATGTTTGGACATAAGGTGGGGAATAATCATTGAAGATAATAAAAATTAGGGTGACCTATTCTCTTATGTCACAACATAAAATTATTAACTTTAAGGGTAGATGTAGAATTACCGACAACTGGTGAGTTTCCCACCCTAGCGGCTACTTCAAAATAGTATAGCGCCTCATACTCCTTAACACTTCCAGTAGTTGCTCCAAATGATAGATCTTGAAACACACCATTGGATTGGAGGAATCTAACACAACAATTTGACTACTTGATCAATAGACTGATGGAAAGCATATTGTAATTAAGTTTAGGCACATGGAGTCCGATTCCAATACTATGGAGTCTAAAATTTGAATACTCGTTTTTCCCGCTACAACTGCTAAGGAACCATTTACAATCTTCACTTTAACATTCCCAGCACATAGGATGTAAGTGGTAAACAATTGATGACAACTCATCATATGGTCTGATGCTTCCAAGTCAACAATCCACAAAGTGTCTTCGAGAGGTTTTAAGGGCTTAAAGAAAGTTAACTCTTTTTGCTAAAAAGATAGGTACTGTGGTTGAAATCTGACCTAACTATTGTGTTAGGTCCAGCAACGACGGATGTGAGGTTGAACTTCATCACCAATTCTTGACACAAAATAAGAATTCCATTGCACGCCATATCTACAAGGCCGAGACATACCAACAAATGGACTAGAAGTATCAAACCCATTTGATCGCCTATGTTTTCTATCCCTTTACTTCATTGGTGTTAGACATAATCGACCATCAAGGTGCAAAAATGAAGCACCAATCATGCCGGAGACACCTTGTTACCAGAGAAGGTGATCGTTGTTGAAGAAAGCTAGTCGTGCATAGCCATGCACTCAAGTTCTCTCTCTGTTGCCGAGGGGATGAGTGGCGTATGTGAAGGCCATGCGCCACCAATGGCTGCGATACTTCTAGGTCACACTGGTTGGAAGTTTCCGGTCCCTCCTTTTCTGGCAATGAGATCCCATAATCTCTCCCTTAGCCCATTCCGTGTTCGACCCTAGCTAAGTAACTAACATTTGTTTGTGGCTGAAACCCTAATTAGGTTTCAGATCCCTAATGGAGCCAACCTAGCTTTGATACCATGTGGAATTTGAGAGGAAAACAATTTTTGTTCATTTCAATACTGAAGTACTTGCTGAATAAATATACAATAGGGAGAATTAATAAAGCCTGCTAAATACTAATAAAGGCTGTACACTAAGATAATATTTACAATAAATATCAAATGTTCCCACATATTTCAATTAGAGAAATATTTCATGTGAAGAATGTGGTTTATTTTTGAAAAAAGTCAGTCCTGTAATTTCCCTTTTAGCTGGCCTTTATTTCTGAATTAATATGGCTTTTAATTTTGCCATTTATGCTTGTTTATTTCATGGGATTCACACTGGCAGACTTGTTGATTGGGTCTCCTATGTATTTCTAGCTTCTTCTGTTATAAAGAAGTAAGAAATCAAAGCATCATTTCTCTGATTTTCTTCACTTTACATAGGATGTGTAGGGCTTTAATGCCTGGAGACGATGAGAATATGAGTGATGAAGCAATATGGGAAACCCTTCCTGTAAGTATATTGTTCGGTACTAAATTTCAATACATCAGTGATTGTAAATAGATTGCTACCTATCTATTGCTTCCACTAGTATCTGTTATATTGCATGAAGGATTAAGAATAGTGTTTATAACATAATTAACATTTTTTAACAAATTCCTTTATAAATTTTTTTAGGTATTCTCTAGTTATAGAGCGATAATCGATGTGGAACAGTGAATAGAAAGTTGATAAAATCCATCTAATTATCTTTGATTAGATGACGCTTGACATTTGTTCAAATGCATTATTGTTCAGAATCTCAAGTCAGTTTCTTGTTTTGTGGTCAAAAGGATCTTTTGCTAGAATTGTGATATAATTGAACATCAGGATAAAATAGTTGGAGTGAATCAAGAAATAAATAGGCCATGAATTAACACTTGAATAAGGAGTACTCTTTATTACTAATTCCTTTATTATTTTAAGCGTATGGCTTTTTAATTTTCTTTTCAAAACCTTGGTTCTAGAAATTTCATTCAGTTTTCCTGAAGGATTGTTCTTACCCATTGTCAAAGACCTTTTGTACCTGTTCTTCATTTGCATCACCTTATTGTGTTCCTCAAAAAGAACTTTAATGTGTTACTCAATAGTGTGATTTTTTTTTTTTTTCCTTCCGGGTTTCATTTTCACAAAATCTGGATTCTAAAGCATGTACTGCTGTTTTCTAGCACTTCTGGGTTGCAATTTCCATGGTCTTCTTTATTGCTGCTACAGTGTTCACTCTTCTTAAGATATGTGGTAAGTTTTGATCATTCCTATTTGTTACTTGTAAACTGAGTAATTAGTTGCCCTTGCTCTGGGATTTTTGTTTATTATTATGATGCCTTGGAGTACATATTAATGGTTGGTGATCAATTTTTTTCCCCCTTTAGGATTGTTTGTTTTTGGAGAGGGTAAATATAAAATTTTCATTCCCATTGTAGTGACAGTTTGATGTGGCTTTATTTGGGACTTGAACTTTTCTATGTTCAAGTTTTCAATTTGGGTAAAGCCTAGTACAAAACAACATAGCCAAGCCTTGAAATGCCCATCAATTTAGTCCATATTTAAGATCAATATGGCATAAATATAACATTTTAAATGAAACCCTTTTTACAAAATAAAATTATAAATCTCAGCTTGGAGAAAAATATTTTATAAAAAAGTAAATATAGTTTCATTGTTAAATCAAATGTGCCCCCATGTATTGCTGAAAATCCCATGATTTTATTTATTACAGCTTCAGTTAAGATTCTGATATTATTTTTTTTAAAGATCTGTCAATGTTAGTAATTCCTTATTTAGCTCTTTAGGTCTCTAATGGAGATTTAGTAGTATGAGATACCAAGTCTCTTATTGAGTTGTATGAGATGTTTAATGGGGTATTTAAGCGGTTGGTTCTCCCACTTCAATATCTAGCTTTTGGGATAAGGTTTCTTATCTTGTTAGGTACCTATCAATTGGTATTAGAATTAGGTTGTTGGCAATTTCAAAGAGGGCTACCTACCAAGGTTTTGACTGGTCGGAGGCCAAGTTAGTTCCATAGAGTGCAGCCCCTAAGATGTTGGCTTCCCATAGGGGGCTAATTGATGAAGGCTTGGTAGCATGGGATATCAAGTCTCATATTGAGTAGTATGGGTTGCTCGATGAGATATTTAAATGGGTTAGTTCTCCCACCTCAACAAGAAGTTTTGGGGATAGGGTTTCCCTTCCCACTTAGGTACCTATTAGTCTCGCTATTCTATTTTAATTTTACTTCAAATTATGATTGCTGATTATGTGGGACTGGATGGTAGACTTGTTGCCATCTTTCCATATTTATGCATTTGCCTCCCCTATGAATGGATAAGCATTCTAATGGGTATCTAAATGGGATGGGGAACCCTACCCCAAAAGCTAGCTGTTGAAGTGGGAGAACCAACCCACTTATATACTTCATTGAGTATCTCATACTACTCAATGTAGGACTTAGTATCCTATACTACCAAGTTTCTATCAATTGGCCTCCCATAAAAAGCTGACGTCCTGATGGCTGCACTCCGCAGCACTTAACTCGGTCTCCTTCGGTCAGAACCCTTTATGTGTAGCTTTTTCTGGAACTGTCAACAATGAGGTTCTGATATCAATTAATGGGTACCTAAATGGGATGGGAAACCCTACCCCAAAAGCTAGCTGTTGAGGTGGGAGAATCGACCCGCTTATATACCTCATTGAGCATCTCGTACTACTTAATGTGAGACTTGGTATCCTATAGTACCAAGTCTCCATCACATTCAAAGACTATACTTGCCATTTTTCACTGTATCAAAGCAATGGCTGATCCATCTTTGATTTTTGGCCAAGAGCCTATAATACTGAAACTCTGGATAGACAGAGCTTAGCCCTTGAAACCAAGAGATGTCTACAAAGTGTGAAAAGTGCTTGTTCTATTTGGAAGCATTCTTCCCTTCACTGACATCAACATGCGAGCTAGCCTTGTTAAGAAAGCTTTGATCAGCTAGACCTGAATCTGGTCGACAGCTCGACTGCCACAACCAGATTCACTTAGAGTGCCTGTCTTATGCTGCAGTTCACTTTTGCCTGCAGCGGCTCGACTCAATCATCTCTATTGATTTGTGTTACTAATTTATCCTTCTCAAGGTCACTCTGTAACTTCCCCTCTATTCATATAAGGTAGTTCAAACCGGTCTTTTCTTGGATATTGTGATAGGATTTGAGGATGTGATGCAACTAGTTAAATCCTATACTACCCTTACCTTCTAAGTTCAAAACATTGCCTTTTGGATAGCTGACGTGGGAGCAACAGGTCACATGAAGGGTAATGCTTCACTTTATGATTTCTTGGTAAAAGGATATGGTTATTGAAATTCCTTATGGAACCTTGTTGGGACATCAAAGCTATGTGAAGAGTTTCTCTTGAAAAATGTTTGTTGTACCAAACTTAACTTTAGTTTGCTGTCTATTTAAAGCTCTTTAAGCATCTTAATTATGTTGCTAAATTTTATGTTGTTAGCTGTCATTAGAGTCGGGAATTTGAGCGGGCTGGGCTTATTTGGGCTTGGCCTGAACAGGCTCGAACCCGAACAGGCCCGTATCCTTGAGAAGCCCGAATAGCTAAGCCCGGCCCGAATTTCTTCGGGCTTCGGGCGGCCCGAATACCCGAATTTAATTTTTAAAATTATTTTTAATTATTTTTTTCACTTTGAAATTAATTATTTTATTTTATAAAAAATATAAAATATATTTTTTTAATACTTAAATGATGTCTAGGACTCAAATATATGGTATTTTAGTATAAAATGATCTAAAATTTAAAGAATTAATTAATATTTATTATATTTTATATATTTTTTAAAAATATAATTTTTTTATTCGGGTATTCGGGCCAAGCCCGAACCCGATCGGGCTTGGCCTGAATTTTTTCGGACGTAAAAAAGCATCCTTTTTTCTAAGCCCGGCCCTAAAATTTTTCGGGCCAATTCGGGCTAGCTCGTCGGGCTTAGCCCGAATTATCGGCTCTAGCTGTCATGATTTAGATTTTAGATTATGATAATATCCTGCAAAATTAGGCAAGCTCATGGGAATTTCTATGTTGCCAGCAACACTACTCTTAGCGAAATCATGCCATGAAACTACAGATCAGGGCAACCTAACTTTCAGTTTTCAGAGTTTTGTACCCTCACCTGTGCAAAAAGCAATACTACTGCTCTCCAATGGCAAGTATATAAACTTTTCCAATTATATAAAAAATTCCCATCTCCATAACCACTAAGCTACTCACAATGCAATAGTAACAAGCTTTATCCTATTAGGTGGACTCGGCTACATGGATTGCATAATGCCCTTGTGCTCTATCATCAACTAGCCTTTGGACATATTGTTAATTTAGGGGTCTCGTTTAATAACTTCTGTAAGTGTTCTCTTGGGTTTTCACCAAGCCACTCACAATAATTTACTGTATTGAAAACCTAACAAGGCTAGACGTTTCAGTACTTCTTTAATGATCACGGAAGAATCACTTGAGTTTACCCTAATGGGGGAGATATAAGAGATTGATGTTAAGCTATGTAACTCTTTATCCAGCATGATTTAGATCTGACAATGCTAAAGATTACTTCAACACAAATTCTCCAACATCTTCCTTCACAGGGGGGTTGTTTATCAAATTTCTTGCCTTATGTTGATAGCTGATACCCCTTAACAGAATGGAGTAGCTGTGAGAAAATAGGCCTGGCTTATGGGATGCTTGATGCCTTAAGAACATCATCAATGTCCTGAAGTTTCTCTTTGGGGTGGGGAGGTGGGTGGGAAGCCTCTCTCATTGCTACATGGTTTCCAAAACTTCAAATCTCCGTTGTAAACCAAGTCCTAAAAGCCCCTTAACAGCAAATCACCCATGAAGGTGACATGGACTTAGATAAATGTCCATGAACATCCTGTTGAAATGATATTCTCTCTTGAACACGTGACTAACTCTATGCTTGAACTCTTTTACCTTCAAGGGAACAACACCTTACCAATTTTAGTGAGTATTTGGTTTATTCAAGGAGGAAGAAAAGGAAAAAAGATATGTCTTAATGCACATTGTGAGCCTTCTTCTTATTGGGTCAAAGGCTCGGAAAGCATGGTATTTAAAGTAGGTTATTGTTCTAAGAAAAGGGGCTTAGTCTTGCACTGGACACCCTTTTGAGTAGTTGCATTTTGTAAAACAAATTGTTTCCAGTTATTTGGGTTTTGTTACTCGCCTAAACTTAAGTTTAGGTGAGTAGATCTACTCCTGGATCTATACATTCTTAATTTAAGTTTGGGTTTTGTTATTAGTTAAAAAAAGATATTTGGGTTTTGTTAGTCGCCTAAACTTAAGTTTAGAAAAAGGAGTAGATCCCTGAAAAAATTTCATTCTATATCTACTCCTGGATCTATACATTCTTAATTTAAAAAAAAAAAAAGGAAAGAAAAGTTAGAAGGGGATGATGATGAGATAAAATGAAACAATTCAAGATCATTCATTTGCAACATATATTGAACATAACGGGGCCATTTGAGATTCTTGACCTCTAGCAATAGGTATTCTGAACATCAGTTGATATCTGCATCATGATATAACTTGTGCTTTTCAGTACTCGTGAAATCTGTTTCTTGTTAAGCAGTCAAAGGAATGCTGCCTGATTAAATAACGCACTTGCAGTCTGGTAGGTGGTGGTCAAGTTGTGAATCACAATAATGTATACCATGTTCTTTTTGCTGCTCAGAAATGTTTCCTGTCCTCTGTATTTTGTCAAAATCTATTGTCTAATATGTCTTTTCTTTTGGAATATTGTGTAATTGTGTGAAATTTTAAGCAAGGATGAGATGGCATAACTTGTTCTTGAAGAACTTCTCTGATTGAGCAATAGAATAAATAATGTTTCAATTTACTGAAATGCAAAAAGAGAGAGAACTATAATTTTGGAAAACATATTTCTGGTTTAGAAACAACCAAGAATCAGCTTGTTAATTGAAGTCAACATATGGATGATCTTTTAAGAACCTTTTATATGTGTTTAGCAAATTATTTAATTATTTCTACTCTGGACATATTTTGACAAAGAATTCCTGCAATGTAATTTTCCCAAAAAAAGACATTATTTCAATGTGTCACTTGCCCATTGATCAAATATATGGGGTGAGGCCTATTTCTTCCTTTTTGTGTGCAATGAATCAATCAGGGTGAGGAATTCAAGTAGGACACATGTTGGTAACTATCTTTATAGTAATAAAACACTGTTTTGATGATATCAAGATTACTTGCTGAGTTGTGTTACTGTAATCACATTCTTGATATTAATCACACTGTCTGATGAGCTGTTGAATGCACGCCTATCATATTCTTACTAATTATCCTTTCAATCACCTGCAGGTGATGTTGCTGCTCTTGGTTGGTGGGACTTATTTATTAACTTTGGGTATAGCCAAATTTACATTTCTGATACACTGGTTCTATCTAGTCGTTCATCTTGTGCCTTTGACCTTCATGAAATCCCTGTATCTTTGTGCAGCATTGCAGAGTGCTTTGCCTTTCTTGTATGCACAAAGTGGTACAATCCAACAATTCATGGAAAATGTCACACTGACACAGCAGATCCCAGCTCATCATCACTTACATCATCATTTACTGTAAGATACCTGGACTGGGATAGAGGTTTGGTGGTTTCTGCAGATGAAGAGAGGCAGCAAAGTGGCCTATGCAGTCTGCAGGACATCGGTGGGCATATCATGAAAATTCCATTCATAGCTTTTCAAATTCTGCTATTTATGCATTTAGAGGTATGATATATTTCGATCAAGGGCCTCTTGATATTTTCAGAAGATGCAAGTTTTTCCAAATTTTTTGAGTTTTTTCCCCCGTTTTTTAGGGAACACCACCTGGTGCGAGAACTATGTCATGTGCTGTTGTCTTTTCTCCCCTTTTTCTGTTGCAAGGAGCTGGTGTTTTATTTGCGGCTTATAGATTAGTGGAGAAATTAGTTCTTTTGGTTTACACTGGAGATGTTCCTGAAAGATATTCAAATATAGCACTAAAAGCCCGCGATTGTTTTGGATTCTTGCACCATGGCTCAAGGTATTAGTTTGTTCCTGCTTTCTATGAAACCAAAATTTATCTTTGGATCCATGCCAAAAAATTATCTTCGGTAATTTATTTGTTGAGCGAGGAAAAACTGATACTATTCAACTGCGACAGATTTTTGATTGTTTGAATTTTCTGCATTAACAGGCTGCTGGGTTGGTGGTCAATAGATGAAGGAAGTCGAGAGGAACAAGCCAGACTCTATTGTGACGGGGGCTCAGGGTCAGTTTTTCTTTACAGCATGTTTGACAGCAATTCAGTTTTTGGACTATTGTTTTCCCTTTGCTTTAAAACCTAATTTAGAAACTTAATGAACATTTTTACATCCTTATCTTGGAAGTCTTGAACAGTGCGTCATTTTGTCCTAAAATCAAAGTTTTTTGGTTATGCTTTTTCAAAATGTAAAATAATTTTGTATAACATATTCAACTTGGCTTATTTTGATGGCCATATTAACTAAACCTGCAATTGGACTGGACTTGCTTTAAGGTGTGCATTGCTCTCCCTTTGTGCTTTCGAGTAACTTATGTGACCCAAGCAGTTACGCCTACACTGATTCTCTCTTCAGCTGTAACATGGAGTATTGATCGAAATTACTTTTCACTGTATATGAATGTAATTTGTTTTACTATTTAGGTATAATACTTTCTCCCCTGATATGGTGAAGAAAATGCCTAAAGCAGATCTTGTTGAGGAGGTAAAGACCTTGAAACCCCCCCCCCCCAAAAAAAAAGGACTGACTTGATTAATATCAAAATATATAGCGATAGCACCAATCCTTGCATCACCCCTCCCCCCCAATTTTATTGTTTTTTTACCTATACACGAGTAATTATAATTCTTAAAAACTGCCAGATCTGGAAACTACAAGCTGCACTAGGTGAGCAGTCCGAGATTACGAAATTTAGTCAGCAGGAGTACGAAAGACTCCAAACTGTAATGTTCTCAACCTTGATTGATTCTCTTCCACATTTAAGTTTGTTAATCAGTAGCAGAAGTATCTTATTAGCTTTTGCTCATGGAGCATTTTCTTCATTTTCATTTAATTAGGGACTGGGGAGTAAGAATCCTGATATGATATTAATCTCATTTCCTCAGTTTTTTTTTTTCTTTGGGCCAAAACTTAGGTCCTCATTTTAAAGTTAAAAATATAATTTGAAGTTGAAACTGATCAGGCTCTAGCATCTTGGAACTTTCATATGATTAAATTGGGTCAATTTTCTGCTAAAAAAATGGGGTCCATTTTGTGGTCTGTCATGTGGTAACGAGTGATTTTCGATGTGTATCACATGGTGTTGTGCTATAAAAACATACCTAGTTAGTGAAAAGGGGGATCTAGAAGTCTATGAAGAGGGATCACCTTTAATTCTCTCTAAATTTAGGTCTAACTTCCGATGAACTTACAAAAATATACACTAGTGTTTCCTGTAACTTACCTTTCTTCATTTTTTTTTTCACGTAATCCGCCTTTATATGTGGTGGTTTTCAAAATTGATTTCTTAATGACAAAATGTTGAAAGGAAATTCAATATCTGGTTCTCTATCATGGCAATGAATAATCTTGGATTTATACTTCAGTGAGACCAATACCCCACAACCATTTTCGCACTGTGGGGTCACTACCACGGAAAGTCCAGATATCAGCAGTTAATATGCACTATGCATGCACTGACGCAAGTTTGCAATCTCAAGTGATGCATATATTCATGCACAAGCTGTATTATAATTATTTTTGATTTTCTTAAATTGCCTTACATATGACTTGGGGCCGTATAATTGATTATTAAAAGGGATTGGTGGGTATTTCAGGAAAGGATCCTATGTAGAGTTTGCTTTGAAGAGCAGATTAATGTGGTCCTGCTTCCATGCAGGCATCACATTCTTTGCAGGTAAGAATCCTAAGCGCCCCCCCCCCCCTTTCTCTTTTTGGACAAAAGAATCCTAAGCCCCTTTAGTAAAAATAATTTTGGGGAAATTCTCGGGTAAGAACCCTAAACCCATGTTGGTTGGACTGGCCAATAAAATCTCGTTTGTTTTCATGAGCATATTGCTTAGCCAGCTGATATATTTTGTATAACAAAGAATCTTATAAATTTGAACTACTTTCTCGTCCAATTTTGACAATATTAATGTGGATAACAGCACGTGCGGTGAAAAGTGCAAGAGGTGCCCAATCTGCCGTTTCTCCATTGAAGAACGAATGCCTGTGTATGATGTATAGATTTCAATTCCCACACTGATCGAAGCGATGTAGCTATCTTACGCTCTTGCTTTTGTTTTTAGATGAGGCAAGCACAGAGAGACTAGAAATGCTGGTTTCTCTGCTTATAGGTTTGTTCATTATCAACAGCTGTGTATAGTTTTCCCAGAGTCAGAACTCTTAACGTTTTCTCCTCTGTAAAGTTTATTTGTTGTGGTCACTTTCATAAATGGAGTGTAAAACTTCACCATTCTCATTGCTAAGTGGCACTATCTCATCCTGATTTTTAACACAGTTGGAAAGTTAAAACTGCGAACCGTTTATAGAACCGTTTTTATTAGGCCCGTCGTTTCTAGCTGTTATATTTTGTATTCAAGTGTTCAAGTCACTGTTTTTTTTTTTTTGAATTGGAGCCCACGGGTAAACCGTGCTAATTTACAAGATGAGTCATGTCAGCGTATAAGATATTACAACAATCAGGCAGTGGAATATCAAAGATATGAATACAAAGATTGTCTGTGTAAGCTTGATGAGATAACCAATTAGCACATCTGTTTGCCTCCTTAAAAGTATGGTCGAACGTGGTTGTCCAATCTCGCATGGTGAGATCTCTGATTCTATTAATAATAGTAGTGAGTAGATGAGTAGTAGAAAACTCATTATGAATTAGCGAGAGAACTTTTGTAGAGTTAGTGTAGACATTAACTTTCTTGAACTTCTCTGCCCAGCAAATGTTTTGGTAGGGGCTCAAGACAAATATGAAGGAAAAGGAGGATTCTATTAAATTAAATAGAGTGAGGATCTTACTCTACTGAACTTAATAGCCAAACAGGAGAATCTTCAAGGGAAAACAAGGTTTATTCATTTTAGATGTTCCAGGACATTTATATCCAGAAATTACAATTAAATAAATCAAATAATGTAGATAATTAGCCTAAAATTAGGAAATAACTGACTAGCACATTGGTACCCTATTAACGAAGTGAAGGTCCTATTATTTAGCTACTAACAGTTACTAACAGTAAAACAAAACAATAATTAATTAAAATAACAGCAATGAATTAATTTAAATAAGGTAAATCCCTCATAATCTGCATAACAGCATCTGATTCTGTTATCTTCCTCCTTTTTCTGCGTTGATAAGTGATTATGGGTTTGTTATGCTGATTTGGACCCTTATTATTACTCCCCCTCGAAAAAAAAAATGACTTGTCCTCAAGGAGGAAATTGGGAAACTGTTAGGCAAAAAGATCATAATCTTCCCAACTCGATTCTTCCTCTGGTTTGGACGCCCATTTGATTAATAGCTCCAACTGAGAACCCTTCCAGTGATGAGATATAACAGTTTCAGGTTCCAAAACAAGTTCAAAATCAGGGGACAATGGCAAATCTACTGGAGGATCAAGAGGGGACTTTCTGTGAGCTGGTGTGAAACATGAAAAACCAAATGAATTTTAGCTATTGATGGTAGCTGCAACTAATAGGCCACTGCTCCAATTTTGCATATGATAGTATAAGGTCTAAAGAAATGAGGCGAGAGCTTGTCATACTTTTTATGGGACAATGAACGCTGCCTGAAAGGCTGTATCCTCAAGAAAACTGCATCTCCCACCTCAAAAGAGAGCTCACGTCGGTGATGATCTGCATAAGTCTTCATTCTATATTGGGCTTTGTTCAAATTATCCCTGAGGAGTTGTAACATGTGATCTCTAGTTTCCAGTTGGTCAGCAAGCTCAGTAATGTGAGTTTCACCCTTGATGAAAGGATGAAGTGGAGGTGGGTCCCTACCATATACCACTTTGAAAGGGGTAGTATTGGCAGAAACATGGAAACCAGTGTTGAATGAGAATTCAGCCCAACCTAAGAACTTACTCCATGAATGTGGTTGCTTATGTGCAAAGCACCATAATATGTCTCAAGGCAACGATTTACTACTTCAGTTTAGCCATCGGTCTGAGGGTGGTATGCAGTACTCAGCTTAAATAATTCCTGCCAAAAAGCACTCAAGAAAAGTAGGTCTCGATCTGATAGAACAGAACGAGGCATGCCAAGCAACCGGACAATCTCCTCACAAAAACGAGCAGCCACAAATTTGGCAGTATAGGGGTGTGCAAAGGGAATGAAACGACAATATTTACTCAATCTATCAACTACCACTAGAATAGTATCATAGCCACATGATTTGGGCATTCCAACAATAAAGTCAAGAGAGATATCTTCCCAAATCTGTGTAGGAACCGGTAAAGGTTGCAGCAAGCCAGCTGGTGATAGGGTTTCATATTTGTTCTTCTGGCAAATAAAGCATTGTTGAACCAAGGCTTTTACATCATTTTTCATTTTAGGCCAATAAACCGTACCTGTTAAACGCTTGAGAGTTTTTAAGAAGCCCCCATGACCACCCGAAGGTGTTACATGTGCCTCCTTGTAGTAGCTTAGAGCGAAGAGATGAGCTCTGGGGAATAACTAGGCACCCATTAAAATACAATTTTTGCTCAACCAGACTGTAACTGGTACGAGAACTGGAATTTTCTTTTAAGGTAGTAACAATAGGAGCTGTAAAAGAGTCGGTTGTTAAAGCTTCTTGTAATTCAAGGAAATCTAAAGGCACAGGAATCACCAAGTTAAGAAAATCAGCATGTTGTGGCCTTCTGGATAGTGCATCAGCCCCAATATTCTCCTTACTAGCCTTATATATAATGGAGAAATCGAATGGAAGTAACTTTAGAATGAGACATTGTTGAGTGTTTGTTAAAGTTCTTTGCTGCAACAGATTTTTCAAGCTACTATGGTCAGATTTTACTATAAAATGCCTTCGTAACAGATAATGACGCCACTTTTAGAGTGCCAACACTAGAGCTAATAGTTACTGATCATATGCTGACTGAAATCTGTTAGAAAAGGATAACCCCTTGCTATAAAAAGCGATGGGGTGGTCATGTTGCATGAGGATGGCCCCTACACCTTCCATTGAAGCATCGCACTCTATAACAATGCCATGAAGTCAGGAATTTTTAAAACAGGGGCTGTAATAAGATAAAGCTTAAGTTTCTTAAAAGCTCTTTGAGCTTCTGGGGTCCAGCAAAAAGCATTCCTTTTAGTTAATGCAGTAAGGGCACGAGCAATAATACCATAATTCTTGACAAACCTTCAATAATAGCTGGTGAGTCCCAAAAATCCTCTAAGTTCTGTGACATTTGTAGGTATTGGCCATTCACTTACGGTATTGATCTTTTCAAAATTTGTTTCCACTCCTTGTGCTGAAACCTTATGCCCCAAGAAGACACACGAGTCTGCCCAAATTCACACTTCTTGAAGTTGGCATAATACGATTGTTGCTGTAAGGTAGAAAATACCAATCGAAGATGATCTTTATGTAGGTTTGGAGTGAGACTATAGATTAGGATGTCATCAAAGAAAACCAACACAAATTTTCAAAGATAAGGACGAAAAAGATCATTCATGGCTACTTGAAAAGTGACTGGTGTGTTGGTCAGTCCGAATAGCATTACAACAAATTCATAGTGTCCACTATGAGTTCAAAATGCTGTTTTATGAATATCTACTGGCAAGACCCGTATTTGGTGATAACCAGAGCGGAGGTTAATCTTGGAAAAATAAGTAGCTCCATGTAATTCATCTAGAAGCTTATCAATATTGGGAATTGAGTATTTATTTAGGACTGTAATCTGGTTCAAGGCCTTATAGTCCACACAAAACCTCCAGGAGTCATCCTTTTTACTTACTAGTAAAACTGGACTGGCAAAAGGGCTCGAACTTAGCTGTATGAAACCTTTCTGTAACAATTCATCCACCTGTTTCTTGATTTCAGTCTTTTGGAAGTAAGGATAACGATAAGGGCATAAGTTGGGAGGTTGAGTTCCCTGTAGAAGATGAATGGCATGATAATGATTTTTGAAAGGTGGTAGAGAGGTTGGTTTCACAAACAATCCATCAAATTCGACCAGGAGTTCATCCACATCCAATGACTTGATAGTGGGAGATCCTAATGTGAGCTTAGAAGAGAACATGAAATGTAAGCTGGCCTTCTGGTTTGAGGCTTAAGATACTCCTTGAAGTTTATACCATTTGCCATCAACCCAGAAAATTAAAAACATCTCATTCCAATTGGCTTGTATGGTATTTAAGGAAGCTAGTCATTTGATTCCTAACACCAAATCTATTCCCGCCAGAGAAAAAGGATAAAAATCTTGTTTAATGGTCAAATCAGGTAGCTTCACATCCACTTCTTTGCATACACGATTTCCTCAAATTACATTGCCATCTCCAATTTGTACGCTGAAAGTGGGAATAGAACAAGTGGGCAAGTTCAGCTCTTGCACCAATGAGTCAGAGATGAAGTTATGGGTCGACCCACTGTCAACAAGGAGCAGCACATTGCGATTGAGCACTTGACCTCTTAGTTTCATTGTTGCCGCTGAAATATTACCCAAAATAGCATTAAAAGAGATTTTTGTACTTTCTGTAGTCTCGTCTTCTTCCTCTGCAACAATAACAGAATTTTCTGATATAGGTTGCGCATCCTCGTTGATCTCCATGAGTGAGAAGGATGAGGGTTTGCAGCGGTGCCTAGGTCGAAAGACGTCCCCATAACGGTAACAAAGTCCTTTATCCTTGCGACACTGCTATTCGGCATTTGAGAGCAGAGGTCGTGGCTGGATGGTGTTTGCTGGTCGCGGATTCGTGAAAGATGCAGGAGAATTTCTTAACGTGTTGGGCGAGAAGGCTGTAGCAGCAGCCGGTTGATCACGTGCGAACATATTGGAGCTGTTAGTGGATCGAGTTTGGATCAAGGAAAAGCTGGGCTTGGGCCTATGATGCAGCTATAGCTTTTTCTCATATTCTAGTGCTAAACTAGCGGCTTTATACACTGTGCGAGGCTTCTGAATACGCAGATCAGATTTCAGGTCATCTCTGAGTCCTCCTAGAAAAACACCTAACAAACATTGTTCCGGCCAGTTATGAACTCGTACTACTCATTTAGCAAACTCCTGGCAATACTCTTGCACTGATCCGGTTTGCTTGATGGTGACTAGGTGTTCATCAGGATTTTAATACTCTGGAGGACCATAGTGTTCTTGCAGTGCTTTAACTAACTCCTCCCACTAAATCAAGGTATGTTCTGAATTTATCCATGAGAATAAATCCAAAGCATCCCCTTCTAAATACATGGAAGCCACATCAACCTTCAAATCTTCTGATGTTTGATAATACTTGAAATATTTTTCAGCCTTCAAAATCCAAC